TGCACTCGGCCGTCAAAGGTCTAGTGCAGTGCAACGGTATCCTTATCGATTCAGTTATCTCGGATGTAGTAACGAGTTTTCATTGTAGAAGGTTAGTGATGTGACTGTCTTAACGAGTGTGTTGTCTAACAAGCTGTGTGCACAGCCAGTTTTAGTTTCGAGTGATTCTATACTATGGCTAATAAAATTTCGATCATAATTAATTACAATGTTTGAAACTTTGCGAGGGATAGGTCCAATTTAACATACATGTAGGTACATAGAAAGTTTAAGTTAGAGTTTCTAAAATAATTTGGTTTATTACGTGATCTACTGATCACAGCTTGTAATAGATATTTAATATACGTATAAATAATAACTAGTTAATATACGTTGAAACAATATCCGCGTTGGTTGTGTAAACTACCGTAGTATAGTAGCTGATGTGAATGTTAATCTAACATAAGGATTGCCGCATTATTTAAATAAACGAGACTAGAATATGGCTTAATATTATTGTCAAACTACAGCGTAACACGATTACTAAAAGATGTTCTCTGAAGCTAAAAATAATTCATATGAAAAAAAAAAACAATGGCTGCTGATGGTCTATAGCTAGGGCCTCTAACGTGAGATTTAACATTTTCAAACATTGTGGCTCGCGCTTATATAATTTTTGTTTTTGGTCCATTTCTATGCAAGTCACTCACACTGAAACTCGCACATCTGTCAAGTTTTTGATTCAAATCTTGGTTAGATAAATCTTTTGCATTCTACATTTGCCTATTCTCGGAACAATGTTAGGTTGATCAAGGAGAGATTACGAAAGGTAACTTTTCAACCGACTTCAAGAAAGGAGGAGGTTCTCAATTTGACTATATTTTTTATGTTTGTTACCTCAGAACTTAGAGGGACCGATTTCGATGATTTTTTTTATTCTATTTGAAGCTGGTGCTTCCCATGTAGTCCCATATTAATTTCATTTGTATTGAATGGTGGGTTCCGGAGATACGTAGGGTACTCCTGAAAATCAATTATTAAACGAAAACAGAGAGAGGTATTTGAAGCTGTTTTGTTTTTTTTTTCCGTAATAAAAAATTGGCTTATGAGCCCACATCTATTATTATATATGTCTCATTAATATTTTTCCTGTTTATAATATCTAACTTTATATTATTATATATCAGAGATATCTTATTAGATATGACTCCGTGGTGCAGTTGCCAAGGTATTGGCTTCGGCGTCGGGGGTGGTGGATTTGATTCCTCGCGGGACAACGATTTGTGCGATCCCGAGATAGGTGTTCCAGATCTGGATGTTTGTCCTCGTTAAATTGCCTGTGGTTCACACAAACACTTGTCCCGCGTGGGAACGCGTCCCACGGCCGAAGCCATGCCAAACCCGGCATGAAAGTGAATATAAATGTAACGCTCAATTTCACTGAAGAGAGATCGAATTGAATTTTGTGTTTGCGTTGGTGGCAATAAGACGCAGGCTGCGGCGATCATTGTTGACGATGACGCAACGATATAGAATCGCCATAATGACGCGAACGTTTCCGAGCAAACATTTCCCATGCATTAGTCTAGAGAAGGCGAGACTCGGATCTATATTTCTCATGTATTAGTCTAGTCTTAGAGAAGGCGAGATTCAGCTCAATCAGGGTTCTATTAAAACTTTATACCCAAATAAATGGTATGAAACGTATTTTATGTTACGAACTGTTCTGTGGGATTTGTAAAAACACTTTTTAAAAAAATAATTTTTTGATTAAGACAATGATGTAATTCACAAGGAAATAGAAATACTCCCGAAAAATGGCACGGCGCGTCGCGTATGGATGTTGGACTCGAACTAAACTACAGTGAATTTGAGATATGCTTCGAGGATAGAGTTGCATACTAAGCATTTAGCGTCATGACTATTATGTCTTGTGTATATAACAGCGCCCCCGATGTAGACTAAACTTACCCTTTTGACTAAGGGGAAGTTTACGTTATAGGAATTATGTTTTAATTGGTTGTTAATCTAGGGGAAGTGTCACTCTCTATGTCTTGATCAGAACAGGGATCTGTTATTTCAATTACTTTGGATTTATTGTAATTAATCTTAAGAGTTCATGACATTTTTGGCGGTTAATGTATTTTACGAAATAAGAAATTTTCTTGCAATAACTTTGAATTGAAATGTTTAATAACAATCGTATATAAAACAAGAAATATTTTTGTATTAATCGGAGATTATTTAGATGTAGCAATGTTGTCTCCGTTTATGTTTACATCACGCGGATACAGGCAAATCACGTGTAAGTTTAATAAAATTACAATGTACCGAAAGAGCGTTTAGAGAACAGTCGCGAAGTACATTAGAATATAACGTAGATCCGTTAACGCTACATACCACGTTAGCAGCAACAATATGTTGTTGTTATTAATTGCTGCGAAGAAACACACAGACAAGAAAAATACACCAAGAAATAATTTCAACTTGCGAAGTAAAAAATCATTGCTGTTGTAGCGGATTACGATTTAAACTTCAATTTAAAAGAATCTCTGTTGTATTTTTATGAAATGTGTACTAAAACTGGATTTAACAATAGTTATATGAAACTATTAAAACGTTAAGATTATTAATAAATCCGGCTAACCGGGCTTCCCGTTTCCACTGCATTGAAGAAAGCCGAAGACAGAGTGATGTGGAAGCTGCTCGTCACCGATTCTCTCCAAGTTTTTCAAGACGGACACGACCTTCAGTAATGAAGAGACCACGAAAAAGAACGAAAAAGATAAGAAAATAGAAAAATAGTATAGGACTACCTCCCGCTAGATAGAGTGACGGCCTGTGCAAATGTGTTGGAAGTCGATGGATGCAGGTCGCACAGAATCTTATTGGCAGTCTATGGGAGGGGCCTATGTTGAGCAGTGGACTCGAATAGGCTGAAATGATGATGATGTTGATGATGCTGAAATAAAAGTGGTTTTTATCTAAATGTTCATCATCATGTCAGCAAACGGGCTCTTAACTTGGCAGTTGTAAAACGGAACGATAAAAAATCATCTCTAAGCACATCGACGGTACACTGTTTTTCCCTCAACTCATACTAGTATATGGTAATAAAATATATGACTCACAGTGCCACCAGGTTGGGACGTGCGGGACTGTTACATAATTTTATTCACGAGCTGAACATGTACCCATAGTAAACTATACGGAATAGATGAAAGAGGTATTTATTTTATCTGATACTGTTTTTGTATTACGTGGTAAACTATTATATGTACCAAGCTTAATCCTACTCTATTCTTTAGCTATAATTCTAACACTCTGCCTTAAACATCGCAAAATGTAGTTGAAAATGTCCAAATATTTCTAAAAATTTAAAAATTTTGAGGTTAGCTCACATTAATTATAAAGCTATTTGTTCCGATTCTGTCACATAAATTGTAATCAAAAAAAACTTTGGTATCATTCTACAATAGCGGTGTTTTCGTTTTTACTTACGACTATATTTTTAGACTTCTTCGGAAAAGCTTGTTACGGAAAAACAATTAAAATGTAGTTTTCCATTTTTAGTAATAAATTATTTACCTTTAAAAAACATTACATTTTACACGAGATACAATTAAGACATCAGCATATTACTAAAATTAAAATAAAAAAAAACTAAGGGGTTCCGTACAAAAAGGATAAAACGCGACCCCATTACTAAGACTGCTGTCTGTCTGTCCGTCTGTCACCAGGCTGTATCTCATGGACCGTGATAGTTAGACAGTTGAAATTTTCACAGATTTCTTAACTTGCCGCTATAACAAAAAATACTAAAAATAGGAATAAAACAATTTTATGGGGGGTTCCATACAACAGACACGATTCTTTTTTGCCATTTTTATAGATGATGGTACGGAGCGGTACCCTTCGTGCGCGAGTCTGACTCGCACTTGGCTGGTTTTTTTTACTATCTTAACTAACTTTTTTCTTTCTCCTACCCTTATCACCGATGGATCACCGAGTGGGGTCTGCACAACAGTCGCTTAATAGCCGCGCATATCATCAAACTCATTGTACATTCAAACATTGGAATTCAAACTACTTATGTATAAACATCCTTACTAATATTATAAACGCGAATTTGTATGTATGGATGAATGTTTGTTACTCTTTCACGCAAATACTACTGAATGGATTTTAATGCAACTTTACAGTAATATAGCTGGCTGTCTGTTCTAATCTGTTTTTCTGTCTGAATGTTACGCCTTCAGCCTATTCTACGCAGACGTAGTCGCGGGCAACAGCTAGTTTTATATAGTTATAATGTTTCGTCGGGTGTAGCAAATGTCCATGGTTATCACTTAACACCAGGTGTACAGTCGGCCAACTTGCCACCTTCTCAAATAAAAAACAGAATGTTAAAATCATTCAAAACAAATTTACTGACGTTTCTTAGATATCTTCGATCTGAATTTGATTAGTAAAGACCACTATTTCTGAACTGAATAAATAGCCTACCAAAGGTTTAGCGATTACACATTGAGCCAAAAAGAATAATGTGCTCGTAATAAAAATTGATACTGTAACTAAATGTTACAGAGCACTTTTTCAGTGTATAGATAAATGAATTGTGGGTAGAATAAAACATACTGTCTTGCTTGTTACTACAAGTTTCAACGTTAGTGTTAAATACATTAACATCCATCATTAGTTCCCACATAAGACTGTGTTGCAACTCAAGTCCCAAGCAGGTTCTTAAGCAACCACCGAATCTACCGAACAAAGAACGCACCTTCCATGAGCAAACCATACGAAATTTCGTCACATTCAATAAATTGTTCTTTTTTCGCACCACCACGTAAAACATTGGAACTTTCAAAAGTATTTAATACAGACGTATCCGCGTTAGTTCTGCCTTAGATCCTTTCTAATTTCAAAATAGGTCTTAGGTTGACATTCGGAATAACCATTAAGAAATCAACTTATTGGCCGGTTCTGACCGTTATGAAAATAAAATAAAAAACATAATTTACCTTTTCCGCTTTCACCGCGCCAATCCAAATGTCACAGATAATAAAGAGCGAATCAATTTAAATGACTTCGTTCGATTTGCCGCCGTTTTCGCTGTCCACGTGCGTCGATCAGCAACTCGCGGCTGTTACTGACCTCGTCTCACCACTCTCCGGCGGTACGTTGAGAAATGTTGCACTTCGCGGGGCTGACCCCGTGCCCCGTTCGGATTGGTGTAATGCGGGTCCACTTGCCCCAGTACTTAACAAGCAAGTGGGCTAAGCCTTCATACAATTCAAAATCTTATGTTTGCTCTTTCATGGAATCGCGAAAATTCAACAAAAATTTTTATTTAAGATCGCACATTTTTAGGAGCCAATTCAAGCGCCAACGACACACCTAAATTATATTTTAGTTATGTTCGTAATCAGAAAATTTTCTTATTAACTTTTATAGTTACCGTTACCTTTAATTATAGAAAATCAAAAGATCATTTTTAAACAAGTAAATATCAAAGTAAAATGGAATAAGCCATTTTTCTTCTAACTGGAAGTAAAAAGGTAGCAACATACTCGTATAAACACTCTCACAAACGCATATGCATGATTTCAAACTTCAAAGTTTACTCGGCCGCATTTGTTGATTTAAATGTAAACAGTGACTAAATGCTTAATAAACAAACCATTTTGCAATTATTTAAATAATAATTTATATAAAAATACAATGTATCGAATCGTTTCTTTTTAGGGTTCCGTACCCAAAGCGTAAAACGGGACACTGTTATTAAGATTTCGCTGTCTGTCTGTCTGTCTGTCTGTCTGTGTGTCTGTCTGTCCGTCTGTCACCAGGCCATATCTTATGAACCGTGGTAGTCAGGCAGTTGAAATTTTCAATGATATATTTCTATTCCCGCTATAATAACAAATACTAAAAAACAAATATTTAAGTAGTCCCATACAACAGACATGATTTTTTTTACCGTTTTTGATTTTTGACGGAAACCTTCGTGCGCGAGTCCAACTCGCACATATATAAATTTTCTTTGATAAATTGCAACAAAAATTTCAGTATTATTTGAATTAATGAAATATTCGGATCTTATTTACATATTTTACTTAAATTTAACATCTACAAGTTAACAGTGAAATCTGAAAACAACGAGTAAAGAAACAGCTGATTAAAGTATGGGTTAAAAAATTTTGTACAGAAAAGTTTTCTCACATTTATACTAGGGCATTGAAACAAAGCAAATAACAATCCTAATTTCAATAGAGAACATTGGAGCTTAAGCATCAGCTTGGGATCGTGTAATATATAAACATAAATCCGATCAGGGCCGTATTTAGAGGCCTCGTGATAACAAAGGAGTGGAGGCCCCTTGGCCCCAAATTATTTTCTATTGATTTCTGTTAATATTTAATGTAATCATATTTGTACAAAGTACTGTGGTTAAAGGTAAAACGCGAAAAAATATGAAAGGTAAAGTTGTTTACTAGTGTTTACTAGTCTGAATTTAATTTGTTTTTTCCAAAGACTCTATTGTGGAGGCCCCTCTTTTGTGGAGGCCCTGGGGCAGTAGCCCCGGTTGCCCTCCCCTAATTCCAGCCCTGAATTCGATTATAAAGACTGTTTGCGTTGATCGGTACAATTAAGAAAAATAGAAGAATTGACTACAGCTCGGGTAAATCTAAAATAGGACATAAAACAACTGTTTTGCTATCCTATTGACTGACATGATATTGGCAGTTCTTTTAAGGGAGGACATTTATGAAAGAAAAAACAAGAACAACTACTTTCTATTGTTGGTTGTACCGCTGTAAAGTGCACAGAACGCTGGGAATTTGAAGCAAATCCATGGTAACGTTGTCTACATATATATTTAAAAAAAGTCGTATATATTTTTAAATAAAGATATTCCGCGCAAAAGTACTCCGTACACGAAGATTTTTGCTGAACTAATTAATACAATTCGAGCTGATTCATAGCTCACGGCTTCACAGGTCGTGGGATTCTTAATTTTTGGGCTTTTCAATGTGTTTACAGTGCATTCTGTATAAAGATTTGCTTTCATCATTTGCCAATTTATTTAGTGCGCAAGACCAAATTGCCTCATAAGATCAACCATCATAATGACTATCATTTTAAAATGAAATAGAAAGTAAAAAGAGAATGTTGTTTAAATGACCGCAGACTAAAAATATGTGAACTCGATAATATGAGATGAATCGTGGGAGAATTTTTTGTATACTTTTTTCCCACTATGTTTTATAGCCGTTTGCCAATTTATTATTGAGAATGGCTGGATTTAAGTTAAAGATTTTCTAAATATTTTAATGTACAGAAAAGGAAGCGTTAAGATATTTGTATGTTTATTTATTTCCTCAAAAGTATGGTATAGTATCATTTTGTGTTACATATGGTTATGCTGTAGACCGCGATTGTGGTAGGGCCACGCAACAGTCGCTGTTGCAAGAATGGGCAGATCCATTCGGGGAAGTACCACGACCTTAGAGACCTTTTGGAGACTTTAGTTACGTCTTAATGTTATTAATGTTATATCACTGTGTAGTATAGCATCGATCTGTCATCATAATCATCACCATGCGATGTCGTCGTTACACCTAGAGGGTGTTCCGGTATCATAAAGTATGAAGGTTAGCACTAAAATCAGCGTTGTGGGTTTAAACTTCCAGCACAGCTTCGTTTTTAAGTCATAGCATTGTTTTAAATTTGAATTTTGTATTGCTTTTGGTTTACTGTATTACTATTGTTACTATAATATGTATTTTTCTTTTTTTTTGTGTCAAACTAACATTATTGTGGTGTGCGTCCTTCTATCGATAAATAAATATATTTTCACCCTTTCTTTCTTTCGTTTCATGAGTGAGATAACCTGGACCGACTTTATTAAAAAGTAGTAACACTTTTGCAAGCCTACGAGTGTTTCAAATGTCTATGGGTGGCAGTTATTACGTAACAACAGGTGAACCGCCAGCCCACTTGCCGCCTTATCACATAATAAAAATAAAACAATTGGGGCCATTACTAGGACTTCCAGTCGAGTTGCTATAATATTTTTAAAGGCGCTACGTGTTACACGTTTGCTAAAATCTTGAAACTTATCAATGAAGGCACAGTTTTTTTATTTATTTATTATAATTGAAACGTATTTTGTAATTTTTAATTACTTAGTTAATATAACTTTAACTTTGTCATACATGTTGTTGATTCACAATGACTATTCTTCAGCCGACTGACCTTTGAGAATCGCTACGCAGTACAGAATCATCAATGTCGAATGAACAATATCGATTGTTTGGATTAGTGTTTACAATGGAGCAAAGACAAAGGCAAAATATATGCTACGTGATCAGGAAATTTGTGTTACGGTGAGATAACCAAATTGTGATTCAATTTCGGTCGTGTTATTTTATGTTGTATTAATTCAGATGTAAATCCTAATTTTTTTAACATATTTCAGCTGTGTCCAGGACTTAAATTGTACGATAAATTTTAAAAATGTTTTAATTTCATTTTTCTATTGAATACAATAAATAAGTTCAGGCTTCCCGTAGCAGAGGATGATTGTTCCTTTTCCAAATTTCCTACATTATTTTGCAGGCATAACTTGGTCTTTGCCATGTCATTTTTTGCTCCGTAAGGGTTATACTATAACATTACTTAAGTTGTAAAATATAAACATAAAAGTCTGTTTAACTAGGCATATGTCTGAAGTTAGAATGAATGGTGAGGAATATAATAAAAACAAGGAGGTATGTATTTATTGTCCACCCTATTGAGAGATATAGAATAGTATGTTTAAGTATGTCTATCAGTTTTCTAGTGCCCATAGTACAAGCATTGCTTAGTTTGGGACTAGAGAGCGTTGTGTAAAAAAAATAAGGTGTCCTAAAAAAAATATTCCCAAAGCATTGCATTTAGAGAGATAAATCAATATGGGCTTGATCGGATAGAATGAGATGAAAGGTTGAATGAGATTTCATATGTATGATTCGTTTTGAAGAAACAAATTTTTACATTATTGATAAAAAATAAAGAAGATAATAATCATATAAAGATAAAAAGTTTATTTAGAAAACCTTATATACCCTTAAATTTATCTTATAAGATAAATATCCGAAAAATATTGAATGCCGTAATTTTTTGTTACTAACACCTATATTGTTCAAGTTTAAAGAATTTCTATACCAAACATTTTCAGCAATATTATGATTAAGACCCGACAGGCGTTGTCCTGTACACACGACTTAAATCCAGTTACTTAAAAAAAAAAAACAAAAGTGAACTGTGAATCTAAACCATTCTCGAATCAACCTGAAGACATATAAAAATTTCATTAAAATCGGTCCAGCCGTTTAGGAGGACTTCAGTGATATACATACGCACAGAAGAATTATGTATATAAATATAGTGCGCCTGCATTAACTAATTATTATAATAAAAACTTACTTGCCTACACGGAATCATAAAAGAAGGACTCTATATGACTGTTTTATTAATAAGAGATTTCTAACAATTGGATTAATTATTAACTAATATGACTCAGATTAATCAAAGTTTATTAATTAATTATTAGTAAAAACTGGTGATTTAAGTTATTACAAATAGAATCTTTAGACACGTGTATGGTGAATGCCCAATGATAATCGGATAGTTTTTATGAAAATATCTGACAAACGCTCAATCCTTAGAGTAATGGCAGCCCACTTATGTGTGTACCAACCCTTAATCGAACAAAGATATATGCGACATTGGTATATACGGTACTAAGATGCTACCCATTCGTAGTTTCCCGGAAAATAGGTAAACAAACATACCAAATAATCAATCAGTATGCAAAATTGTTTTGCTATCCATTCAATTACTATATAATAAGTTTACAATTATAATATACAATAATTAACATAGTTATGTAATGTATTATTTAAAAATGATCTTGCAGTTTCTTTCAATCAATAGCCAACTGTCTGAAAGAACCTTCTATGCCGAAAAGCTCGTCATAATTGGTGGGTTTTCCCGGTCTGAGGGATTCATTCGCTTTGATAGATTCCTGCTGCTTGAACCATTCCGTATAATCTTCAAGTTTCTTAACCCATGCATCTGCAAATAAAAAAAATGGGAATAATCTTTTCTAATCGTTGAACTCTATTTTACGGATCAACGATGAAAAACTTTTTCTTCGATGTGCTAGATATCAAAAACGTCGTATCTATCATCCACAACTTCTCATCTTTCAATATTTAATAAATATACATTTTATGAAACATAATGCTTAACAAATATTATTAGCTTTATAATTGTTTTCGGTTGAAAATAACATCAAATGGTAAGGTTGATTAAGGTTGGTAGCTGTCTCTAACCTATAATTGCAGTGTTAAACCTAAGTGCTTTTTATTCACAGTTTAATATAGATGAACGTGGGTCTAAAAATTCTCATAACGCTCTTGTTGTTTTACAAAATTACCAAATATTTTAAGTTACCACATATATAGCAATTTTTGCTAAAATTGCTAAATATGTAATATATGTGGTAACTTTGTAAAAAACAGTTTATAAAAATATACTGCATATTTTGGTCTAGAAATAAGGAAAATGTCAGATTGCATATTTTAGAATAAGAGATCAACCGTTTTCCCAATATTTTAGTCATGAAAAAGATTTGGTTAACTACCGTAATATTTATGGTCTAATACATGAAATAAGGCATTCAATACAAAAGATAATGGGCCTATGAATGAAGTCGTGAACTATTTTCATTATTCATAGCTTGTGTGTAAAAGATTTCAACGCTAGCCTACTTTTTGTCGCTAAATCGGATAACATTAATATACAGATGGATAAATGGATATATGTAAATAATACATTCGTCGTCACAACGACGTCCTTAGAAGTCTAATCAGAGTAATAAGAAAAAGCTGAATTGGAGGGATCTGATGAAAATTTTTTTTTGCATTTATTTATTTTACTAGTTTTTACTTTTTTTAAATTTGTCTATGATACTTACCGTTAATTTCTTTCAGCGTTCCACAAGTGCCACCATATTCAGCCGGAAGCACGTCTTTGGGTACATATTCATAGAGTGTGTTCAGATCTGTATGAATGAATATCTGAAAATGAAATTATTGGCATGTTACTTTAAAACCGGCTTTTTTGCTGAAGATTAAAAAATATCTATATCTTTTCGATACTTTACCTAAACATATGACAAATATGTCTTCTTTGGCAAGGGTTTGTAAAGTTTAATAATTTTGAAATACGTCAAAAAATAAAGTAAAAAAAAGTAACAGCTTATATGAATCCCACGGCTGGGCAAAGGGCTCAGGGCATGGTCCACCACACGGCTCCACTGCGGAATGGCGGACTTCACATGACTTCGAAAAAATTTTTTTGTTATTATTTCGAAAATATGCATGTTTCCTCACGATGTTTTCCTTCACTGATTCGTCAGCACTTAAAGTTAACACTAGCATTGGTACCGGGGATCGAACTCAGGTTGCTCTTGTATATTGTACGAGTAATAAATGCGATCGCCCGGACAATGACCTATCATGGCTATAAATTTACGCCAACAATGGCTTTTAATTTAAAAAGTTTTAAAATTGCGATGTTAGCGATTTGTCGACCCGTAATATGTAAAGTGTTATAAAATACGATCTTTAGGAAATAGGCTTTTAACACGAGTTAAATTAAAGATAAAAGCTATCTTTTACAAAATTAACGAACACTAAAATAAATAATGCTCGAACATAAAAGTTTTATACCTAAAAGCAAATATACAGACCCTCTTTTTAATTTTTTCCTTCAGAAACGGTTTGATAATCGAGACAAGCTTATCAACAATTGGCGAAGCGTTTACAACATGCACCTCCTTTAATTTTACAGGAAACGCCTCCTGAAACATAAATGCATGATTCGTTAAATTTTAATCATTTGAATCAATGTTAACTACCAGACCAGTAAGTTAAATCAGTTTTTACATTAAGGAAAAAAGAAACACCTATAAAAAAGTGAGGCTTTTCACAAAAAGTACCTTTCTGTGTTGTTGTTATGATTTGTAGTGAGGAAATTCTCGTTTATACTAGTAAGTATTTTGATTCCTATTAATATGTAATTCGTAATACACATTTTCATGTTTAGTAATTTCGACCAAACATTTCATGTATTTATGTGTGTGTGTCAGCATTTTGTGATATTTTAGTTTAGAAAATTAGTGCACACTATCACAACAATATTACTAGAACCTACCTGTACACAGATTAGGAATTTCTTAATAAGTGACGGCGAGAGTTTGCCTAAATGACTGGGGGATACAATGGATGCATCGAGAATATAAATGTCGCCTCCCACTCCCTCCACTTCCTCCTTCAGCCTGACGTCACCGATCATCATCGCCACCTTGAAGACGTCGATGAGTTGATTTGTGTCCAAGTTCTTGTCTAAACCTAAAATTAAAAGTTTAATTGACTTATTTATAATGAACAGCTTTTTCTCAAGGAACTGCCATTGGCATTGGCTTGCCAAATACAATTATGTTTTTTTTATTTGAAATGTTTTTAAGAGAGCAGCAGCAGTTCACCTCATGTGTACCGCGTAAGTTACCGCGTCATGTTCATCTACTTGAGAGTTTGTAGACGTCTCCTTTAAAAAGCATGGCTTGTATAAAGAAACAGTATGAAGTATTTTTTGCAAGCCATAGTTTCAAAGGATATAAACTAGGAAATAGTCTATTGCTTCCTCCATATATCCAGTGTAATTTATTCTCAGTACTATTGTACAAATCACCGGATCCTTAAAATCGCCATACAAAACGTTGTGTAAGACGTGGTGTTAAAAAAGTTAGGAAACTGATAATCTAATTCAAGAGATTCATTCAAAACATACCTCTAGCAATTGTGACTCGACGTCCGTTTGGTGTCAAACCTGGCAAGGGCGGACCATGCCTGAAGACATTGAAACATGTAGAGAGTAAAATATCCCTAAGTAGATCGAACTATGTCTATAGTCGTATTGACATTTCAAAACTATCCACCATGCTAAGAAGCTTTAAAAACGAAACCTAAGTGTCGTCAAAACAATTATTCATCCGTCATAATTTTTCATCGATCATTCAAATTATACTTAGTAAATTTTAATGTACGTCTAATGCTGGACAATTATTAGAAATCATTCTGTTTCAGTCTCGCTGTAGTCTTTAACTTATACATACCACTATGCTTAGCAATTGTGGTTTGTTTGAAGTGTTAATTTTTTTTTATGTGAAAACTTGCCAAACGAGCAGACGGTTCACCTGATGTTAAGTGAATACCGCCGCCCATGGACATCTGCTACACTCGAGGGTTACAGATGCCTTGACAATCTTTTGAAAATTGGGCTCCGGCTACCTCGCTCACCATACGAAACGCAAAGTGTTTGTCATACTTCCACTTTACGCTGGTCTTCTGTGAGGTCATGGTACTTACCCGGACAGGCCTGCCCATTCGTGCAACAGCTGAGGCTGCTGCGTGGCCCTACCATCGTAAATATTTAACGATATTAAAAAAAACTATAAAGGAACTAAAGACAAATATAATTGTACCATCATAAATCATACCTTGTATAATGACAAATAAATAAATAAAAATGTGGTGAATTAAGTCAGGACGTAAAAGTAGGGGAAGACTTACAGTCGAGTCATAAGGTCTACAAGTTCCGGTCTCCTTATATCTCTGTTGGTGAAGAATTCAGGGCAAGCCGTGCGCATGGTGAAGTACATATCCAACTTCCGTTTGCATTTCTCCAGTGAGAAGCTGCTGCCACGTAGAAACGTCATCATTCGATCTTCATCTGAAATCGTTACAATTTGGTTTTATTTCAAGCGCTTCTTGTAAATTATTGTACTAAAAGCCCTTTACTTACAAAACATGTGCTATTAAATGCAGGAGTTTTATTAGATCTCAAAAATTCAAAATATCATAAATTGGAAAGAATAATGGACAATTTTTTTTGTTAATTTTTATTTCAAATTAATTGTTGATTGTTTTTAAGTGTTATATGCTGTCTTGATCTTCTCTCATATTCTACGATATTCGTTGAGGAATATAAATGCGACTTCCATGACAAGCCTTCATTTTATGACAAGATTATCCTGTTTTGTCCAAATGTTTTATCTATTCTAAGTTTACTTGGCGCGGTTGTATTTCTTTAGACTTCTTAGACTCGAAACCCGCGAAGCAGATTTGATGACATGGTCCATTCAATAATAGCATCTGCGCTAGTGGGGATCATCAAATAATTTCTGCTGATTTTACACTTAAATCTTTTTGTATACTTATATAACTTTAAAAAAAGATAACAGGACCATAGAACTTCTTGCCGGTTCTTCTCTAAACAGGTCTCGTTTTGTGAACCAGTGGTTGTTTTTTATCGTTCAATAAGATCTTAAGCGTATATTGAATAAAGATGTTTTGACTTTGGCTTTAATATTTTAAATTGACTTGAACCTTAAATAGTTTGCATATCACTGACGAAGCCTCTTACCCCATTCGTCAGGTAAATGCGGCTGCTTCCGAAGCCACTCTTTGATGGCGGCGAGATCTTGGTCTCTTGTATTGACGTTCTCGTTTAGTTCCACTCGGATCTTCTTCCAAAGCTCGCCCGAAGGCTGCACCAGGGTTGCCGCTGAAGCCATCCTGCGAATGCACATCAGACTTAATGTAACCTAGGGCTTGATTTTTGATTCCCTGTATTTGTCTAAAAACTCAAAAACTAGCCGATGCATCGATGGATTGACATGATAATGGTTCACAACACAGCTATAGAACAGGAGAGAGTTTTTGAGTTTTTTTTTTGAGTGAGCTACGTTCAGGTATTGTAGTAATCCAAGGTGTAATAAATGAAACGCACTGGACGATGTGTGTGACAAGACTGGTTTATTGCCATATACCAAATGCTGTACTTATATATATAACTTACACCTACAACATCTCTCTCCTCAAAAACATTAAAAAGACTTACAATATATAAAAGGAACTATGTATTTTTCTTTTGATGTACAAACTAAATACATTTTAATATAAAATAACAATAAGTTTTTTTTTTTTTACTTTTACTTAAACTGGTTACAATACAAGGTAAGTTTAAATATTTGAGTAAATGGGTATTAGGTAATTTTAATTATACCCAAACCTATCTGGTTTGCGTACAACACGACCACTTCTAGTGATTATCGGTTCATTACCAGCCGACGGTGCTGGTGATTGTTGTCCCCTTGACTGAGAAGGTAATAACACCTGTGAAGATGTGATCGGTGGCGGTGAGGTGTCCTGATCATTATCAAATATGAAGTCGTAGTCACAATTTTTTGTTTTAGTTGGCCTATTATTATTAGGTAATTTCATTATATGCGACCTATTCCTACGATAAGTTCCGCCGTTATCAATTTGCAGCCAGTACGACCGATAGTATTTGGTCTTATCAACTATTTTTCCTTTGCGCCAAACATTGCCGTTACGTACACGAATATCGTCACCTAGTTGTAATGGTTCTAACGGCCTTGTACCGCGGTCATAATTACGCTTCATATTTATTATTCGCCGCAGCCGGTCGCGCTGCATCTCGTGTGGAAGCACGGCTCGCGGAGCAAGCACCTGTTGTGACGCAGGAAGCCTCGTTTTGAGCGGTCTTCCCATTATTACTTATTACCAACTCTGTATTATATAACACTTAACGTGAAATGGCCACACCTGACACCATGTAGTAATCCAAGGTGTAATAAATGAAACGCACTCGACGATGTGTGTGACAAGGCTGGTTTATTGCCATATACCAAATGCTGTACTTATATATATAACTTACACCTACAACAGCAAGAAAAGCATGAGGATCGAATGAACTCCATTGAACTTCAACGTAACAAATATGAAATAGGCCTTGGGTTCTGACAACGCGTGACGCAAGACAGCCATAAGTCTACCAGACCTAAAACAAACGAAGCACGTAGATATTGGGGACGAATCCATAACAGATATGGTATCAAGTATAATACAATTTATTCATAACATTGTTTTATATCGCTTGTAATGCCTCCTTTAATGTTAAAAACTCGTTAACAAATAGATGAGAAATAAAATCTTACCAATGTTAACTACCATATTAATGAAGAGGTAAACAAACATTTATATAATACGTTTCCCACGTTTCGCTGAGCTTATTTTAATCCTATCAGTAGAAGTGATAAGGGAGGTAGATGCCTTACAAGGTACGAAAATAAAAGACATTTAATTCAAGCATAACAAAGGGAAAATATATTTTAACAAACTATTGCAACAGTGATCATCATCACTTCAGCATTTTTCAGTCCACTGCTGAAAACAGGCCTTCATCGCAGATTATTTTATATAGCAGTACATTTTTTTTTAATTTTCACCGAAATTGTAAATGTGTGTTGACGACGTTGTAGCGAATTCGGTATAAAAAGGCTTTAGCACAATTTTTTTAAGTCGAAACATTAACTAACTAAAGATCTTTGACCCATCTCATTGTCATAACTCTTTGACGTTAGCAAATTTAAACGATTTCTGTAGAAAAAAAAAGAATAGTTTTACGTCATTGATTTTTAATGACATTATTATTTACTAGGAGTGAGTTATACTAGGTAAAATCGAGTCTATGTTACGTCTATTCCTGTTAACCTTAACTGTGACAAATACCCGTTACAAAATAACCTCCCATTATTTCATAATATGTTGCGACTATTTGTGTAACTGTTACAATGGAGTAACATTCTGTAAAAGCTGTTTTCGTTAGTAGTTTATGTGTGTGCTTCAGATGTTCGAACCCAGTAACAAGTAAAAGAAATTATCATGCTGCACGTTCGTACTTCTCTTCGTAACAAAGCCAGAAAAATAAAAATAAAAAGTTTGTGACAGAGACAAAATATTAAGTCACAACTGTGACAGGGTGTAAAAGTTTATATCTCTTTCTAGCTAAAGTAACAGTCATAAGCATGAAAACAGAAAAGCTTGTGACAGCGCGCTAAGAAACACTTTATGTGGAACAGGAACTGTTATTTAAGTTTGTTCGTAACAGGTACAGTTGCCTCTACTCTACTATTAACTCGCCTTTTATAACTGTAACGTTTTTGCAGCTTATTTTTGCCTAAGATGAACAAAGAAAAATAAACTATCACCGTATAATAACCGGTAATAAGTTATTTTTCTCTAATATGAATATGTTTAAATTAAGTATAAATATAAAGATTAGACAACTTACATTACTGAGCTAGGTACATTATGTACATTATAGCATACTTAAGGTAAATTTTATCGTAGAAGTATTGTTGGATGTGGGAAAACAAAAAACTGGCTAAGTGCGAGTTGGACTCGTGGACGAAGGGTTCCGTTCCATTATCTATAAAAATGGCAAAAAAAATCATGTCTGTTATATAGGAGCCACACTAAAATATATTTTATTCTGTTTTTTAGTATATACTACTAACTATAACAACATATGTTGTTATAGCGGCAACAGAAATACATCATTTGTGAAGATGTTGCGAGGCCCTACCACGTTTCTACGTGGTAGGGCCTCGCAACAGAATTCTCTGTTGCACGAATGGGCAGGCCCGTCCGGGGTAGTGCCACGGCCTCACAGAAGACCGGCGTAAAGTGGAAGCTTCATGCTTCTGCGTTTCGTCTGGTGAGTGAGGTTGCCGGATGCCCCCCCCCCCCTTCCCCCCTCTTCTATAACATGCTAGCGGTATCTGAAAAAAACTTACCCCAGGGGGGTACCAGCACCATTGGTTCTGGAGAATCCTCCCCTGGGCGGCTGCGACCAGATAATTATTCGCTTTCTGAACGTAGGCGCTCAGGCTGCCCCACGTATTCTGGGGGGGGTAAAATACCGCTCTCAACTCCCATTGCTCGAGGCAAACGTAGCAGGCACACTTCGGCAACCCCTTCCACGATCTCCGTGGATTTGTGCAACATCAGGGGACTTCACTCCAACCTTAATGCCGTCCACTACCACCTAGAGACGGCAAAGCCGGCCTTGCTGTTCCTTACTGAGACTCAGATATCTTCTCCGGCTGATACTTCTTTCCTCTCCTACCCCGGGTACAAATTGCAACCTTTGTTCCGCGGGCGGGGGTGTGCGTGTACGTCAGAGAGGATATCTGTTCTCGTCGCCTCGGCAGTCTTGAAGGACGGGACCTATCTATCCTCTGGCTACGCGTAGACTGCGACGACCATCCGCGAATCTACGCGTGCCTATATAGGTCCCACAGCGGTAATGCCGAAACTGACCGACTCATGGAGCACATCCAAAGTGGCTACAGACTCTGTGCTGCAGCATCTACCCGTGGGGGCAGATTTGCTTCTCGTTGGATGATCCACACGCCGTTGCTGACTCTGTCACCGATGTGGTGCTTCAGGGCATGGAAATATTTATTCCATTTTCTGCAATACCCATTGGTGGCAAATCCCAACCTTGGTTTGGTCGTTCCTGCAAGACGGCATTACACCGAAAGTGGGAATGCTACCGAGCCTGGGCTGTAGCTTCGGCGTCTGGTGATGTAAATACCAGCGCATTAAAAAAGGAGTATAACTCTGCCTCTAGGTCCTTCAAAAACGTTATTGCAAAGGCGAAGTCGGAGCACATTGGCAGAATTGGCGAGAGATTGGCGCGTCTCCCATCGGGAACACGTGCGTTCTGGTCTCTCGCCAAAGCTGTATTAGAGAATTTCTGTAAGCCATCTTTTGCACCTCTGCACACGGAGGATGGAGCGTTAGCCCATGCCGCGAAGGAGAAAGCCGATCTTCTGGGCTCTCTCTTTGCGTCCAACTCGACTTTGGATGACCGAGGAAACTCACCACCATCTATCCCCCCCTGTGCGACGCTACGATGCCGGAGGTAAAATTTAGGCAAAGTGCAGTCCGCAAAGCACTTCTTTCCTTGGACATTCACAAGTCGAGTGGGCCCGATGGCATCCCTCCGGTCGTGTAGCAGACATGTGCTCCAGAGTTGGCACCGGTTTTAACGCGTCTTTTCCGGCACTCCTATACTTTAGGCGTAGTCCCGAAATCATGGAAGGCCGCTTTGGTGCACTCGATCCCTAAAAAAGGCAACCGCTCGGATCCGTCCAATTACAGGCCTATAGCCATCACATCCTTGTTCTCCAAGATAATGGAGTCCGTTATCAACTGCCAACTCCTGCGATACCTAGAGGAGAACCAGCTGATTAGCGACCGCCAGTATGGCTTTCGCCGGGTTCGCTCAGCCGGTGATCTTTTGGTCTATCTTACACATAGATGGGCAGAAGCAGTTGAGAGCAAGGGGGAGGCGATTGAAGCTAGTCTGGACATAGCGAAGGCCTTTGATCGGGTATGGCACAAAGCGCTTCTTTCGAAGCTGCCTTCCTATGGGATTCCCGAGAAATTATGCAATTGGATCACCAGCTTTTTGGCTGATCGGAGCATCAAGATCGTCGTCGACGGTGCATGCTCCGATCCCAAATTTGTCAATGCTGGTGTTCCACAAGGCTGCGTACTGTTTCCTACTCTGTTTCTTCTGCATATCAATGACATGTTGCAAATCAGCAACGTCCATTGTTATGCAGACGATAGTAGCACTGTTGATGTCTCGTACACTGGCCGAGCTAACATTTCTCGGGAAAACGTCTACGAGAGCCGGAACAAGCTTGGGTCTGAAGTCGAGACTTTGTTAACCAAAGTCTCAGACTGGGGTCGACTAAATTTAGTCCAATTAAACCCAAAAAGACACAAGTTTGCGCGTTAACAGCTAAAAATTCCTCATTTGTCGTGACTCCTAATTTCGAGAACATTCCCCTATCTGCCACAGCTAGTATCGGAATACTGGGCGTCGAAATCTCGAGCAAAGTCCAGTTCCGCGGTCAATTGGAAGGTAAGGCCAAATTGGCCTCAAAGAAACTTCGTGTGCTCAGCAAGGCGAGACAGTACTTCACGGCGGCTCAACGCTTAAAACTCTATAAGGCGCAAATTCGGCCCCACATGGAGTACTGTTCTCATCTCTGGGCGGGAGCCCCTCATTACCAGCTTCTTCCATTTGACCGCATTCAACGTAGGGCGGCTAGGGTTATCGACGATCAAAGTCTTTCCGATCAGCTTGATCCTTTGGCTCTGCGTAGAGATGTTGGATCACTCTGCATCTTCTACCGCATTTATCACGGGGAGTGTTCCGAGGAATTGTTTGGATTGATCCCGGCGGCTGAATTCCGCTATCGGACATCGCGCCAAAAATTTCATCCGCACCACCTCGATGTCCAGCGTTCCACAACAGCGCGATTTTCAGGGCATTTATTGCCTCGCACAACCACTCTGTGGAACCAGCTGCCGCCGGCGGTCTTTCCGCACCGTTACGACCTGGGAACCTTCAAGAAGAGAGCATATTCTTTTCTAAAAGGCCGGCAACGCATTTGTGAGCCCTCGGGTGTTGCAGGTGTTCATGGGCGGCGGTAATCACTTACCATCAGGTGAGTCTCCTGCACGTTCGCCCCTTTTCTCCATAAAAAAAAAAATAAGATGTCAACTGTCTAACTATCGCGCTTAATTTATTTATTTTTAATACAGCCCCGGGTGCCGTTATACCCTTTGGGTACGGAACCCTAAAAATCGTTATTTCATCGGTGGCTATTGGACCGGAAAGTGCACGA